CCATATATCCCACCCCTATGAGATATGCGGCAAAAATACAAGGTTTCAAAAAGTTTATTTTTTAACATGAAAAATAAATATTTCGGATTTCTAATATTTTTTTCATAGTAGTAGACAGTACAAAGTTTTTACTGATATAGTTCGTTTACTATAAACATAGTAAATAATACTTAATAAATTAAGTTTTTTATAGGTGCGGCGTATATACCGGAGTTACTCTATGCATATTTGTTACTTTAACGGGTAATGTAAGATATATCTTGTATGTAACAAGGATTATTTATCTCACACACACACATTAGAATAAGCACGATACAATAAAATAATCCATGAGATTTTGAAACTAATAATTAATTCCATAATATTTACTTACTCAATAATTTTTACTTTTAAGGGGATCCTAAAGACGATTAGTCATATCGTAAATAGCACTTACACATAGATTTACATGTCATTGACACATCAGTATCACTACATCAGTATCTCACTTACACAGGCCACACATACACATAAATTTTCGTATAACAATTACGTTTTAATTAGACGTCTAAGTCCAATTTTTTAAGAACTTCACGCTGTTTCTTCATGCAAACTACTAGTCTGTGTGGATTACTATTTCATAAGTACAGATTGTACAGCTTTTATATGAAGCAAATGTTATCACGACATGACAGTTCTGGAGCACCATATTAGACTAAGAAGTGGTAAAGATCTCAATTTCAAAATTTTTTGTTGTTCTCAGCATAGACTCTACCTCACAGACACGTATTAATGTGTATACTTTAATCCCGAAAAAAAATTTTCAATCAATAAGAGAGGAAAAAAGTAAACAAATAAATCAAATAAAAGCAAAAATGAGTAAATTAAAATATTAAAGAGAAGCTTTTCAGAGACAACACAGGTTGTAAGTATATAATTATATATATATACTTTATTATAAAAGATAAATATACGTTTCGATGCTAATTTGGATCATCTTCAGTATAAACTTAATATTCACATAAAAAAATAATCATAAACATCGTCACGAATATCGGAGTAAACAATCGTCAAGATCAATGCTAATAAGCATCTTAAATAATGGAACATCGAAGAAATAGCGACGATATTATATAATAATATACTTACAGCAAGTAAGGGTATTAAGATCGCAGTTTTGAGATGGTATCCAGAGATCTGAGGAACCAGTGTCGATTTGTACTTTAAACTTCTGCGGTGGAGTTCCAATTGAGATAATGACATAATATGCAGCATTGTCGTCTCTAAATAAAGATTCCTTTATGATACCAACACTAGACCTCAAAGTAACTTGTCGATGGATGTCAATATTCCTCATAGTTTTTTTAATGGAGCCTTATATAATGTGCCTTATATAATGGAATTCTTAAAAAGTAAAAAAATATAAAGAAAACTCCATTATATAACGTATTATATGAGGTAACTGAACCTCATACGACTTAGTGCCCACTATTACATTTTTCTTTCGTTAGAACAAATTTGTTCTAATTACCGTTACAATATTTATTGCCAATGAACGTTTATATATGCTCACTTTAACAATGCCGTGTCGATCAGCACAAGTGCGGCAACTACTATGAAGAGTCGAAACATATTTTCCAAATTTTCTTAATAATTAAATCTACAAAAATTAAGGTTTTAGAGACAATGCAACTTTTTTTCAAATCAATCTACAATCAGAACGCACAATAAAAAAAGAGCTAAGTCAATCATTAAGTCTGCTTATATTCGAGTTTATATAAGTGTTTCTGTTTATGAGAAGATCAGAAAGACAAAAGAATGCGCAATGGGTTATAAAAGCAGTCTCTTAATAGTTCTTAACATTAAATTATCCAGATAACAAAAAAATGCGCGCACAATGATCTCATAGTGCATGCACGCGTGCTGGATTTTCCGCATACGTGAACGTCATGCGCCTGACAAATGTGTCCTCAATTGAGTGAGCCATATCTGAGATGATTCCTTTTGCCTACAAATCGATTGCCTATAGCAGTGCTTGCAAGAATCTGCACATTTCGAGCCGATTCCTGCAGGCACCGCCTCCTATTCCCCCACTATCGCTCGATGCTCGGTGGCCTTGGCGGCCTAGCCGCGGATCGCGCGCGCGGCGCTATGATTCAGGAGTGTCTCTATATCGTGGAACTACTGAGAGCGTACTTTCCGCCAAATCATTATTGAAATGTTTTTTTTATTAAGTAATTTCTCTTTATTAACGTTAAATTATCTATTGTTAATTTATTCATTATGTTCCATAATGATATTCTTATATCTTAATGAAATTTTCTAATATCTAACATAATTATGATAATATATATTTCGACAATAGGTTTCCACATCGCCCGAGAGGTACTATTGTATTTAAGATGCGTTTTTGGAACATAATGAATAAATTAACAATAGATAATTTAACTTTAATAAAGAGAAATTACTTAATAAAAAAAACATTTCAATAATGATTTGGCGGAAAGTACGCTCTCAGTAGTTCCACGATATAGAGACACTCCTGAATCATAGCGCCGCGCGCGCGATCCGCGGCTAGGCCGCCAAGGCAACCGAGCATCGAGCGGTAGTGGGGGAATAGGAGGCGGTGCCTGCAGGAATCGGCTCGAAATGTGCAGATTCTTGCAAGCACTGGCCTATAGCATCGTTTGCCTACATCACATTTACCGACAGTTCGTTTGCGCACAAAAATTATTACCTCGATTGCCTACATGCACCTTTGTGCACAAGTCAAAATTTCAAAAACGAAGTCACATTTGCCTATGCCTATGTGTATTATTACCTATAATACGATACATGTATTGCTTACATGAATTATTGATCGATTACCTACAAGCATTTATACGCATGCGTTATAAACATGTACAAAATACTCACATATAATGACTTAAAACTTTAATTACATTAAAAAATTTTATCAAAAAAAATTGTTATTATCATTAGATACGCCCAATAGATATATTATACTTTCAGTAAATTAAAAAATAGACTTTAATATTTCGACTTACAGAATCTTCATCAGTATAATCGTAAAACCTCATATTCTGGTGTATAAAACTATAATTGACAATAATCTGTCCGTAAAAGCAGTCATATTCCATAAATCATCGGCTTCTTTGAATATACTTATAATATAATATATCATATCCGCAATAATATGTGGTCAAGATGTCCAGTGATATTAATAACAAGTCAAGATGTAAATATCTATGTTCACATAAAATTAAAAAATTAAGAATAAAACGATTTCTTGACAAAAACAGGACAAGAAGCAGTGACAAACTTACGGTCATAGTGTGAAATGAAACACAAAATTTAAATAAGAATTAAGAAGTCTGGCAGTAATTATTTGAAACTGTTTCTATTGATGAGTCCCAAGTATGACTGAGAACCGAACTAGTTACTGTACATATTATATGTTAAAAGCGCAAAACAATAGTGTGTGTCGAAGTTAGTTATAGGTTGTTATTGGTAGTGTGTCCGTTGAATACACCTAATATTCGAATAAATGAATAAAAAATGAATGAAAATATTCATTCGAATACACTTCTTTTTTATTCGTCAAGAAACAAATAAATACTTTTTCATTCCATCTGAATGAATATTTTTTGAATATGATTATTATATTTATATTTTCGTTTCGTATTCCCTCCCAGGTAGCAAAGTTCGTCATTTTGACGTCAAGTGACCAAAAAGTTCATAGGTTTTATTTGACGTCATTTCGTGACATCAGTATGACATCATTTCGTGACGGCATACTGACGTCATTTTCATAACGTCATTCCATGATATCATATTGACATCATAAGTTATCAGTTGAGTAGCATAATGGTCAGTAAAAGGCCAGGATATAAATAATAATAATTAGGAAATAACGGCTTACCGATGACGTCAATCTGTGACATTCGAACGTCAATTTGACTTCATTAAGACGTCAGTAATGGTCAGTAAAGGTCCAAAATATGACGTCAACATGAAAAACTTTGCTACCTGGACTTTTACTCTGTATTATCTACACAAAACTTGCAAGCCTGCAAGAGAAAACAAATCTATAAAAACAATGGCTACAATTACATCGTGCGCTTAGTTCGCGACCTATTCGATCCTATACGAAATACGTCCTTGTTTAACTTACAGGTTAAACAAAGAGACATTTTTATTAGGAATAAATAATATATCTCGGAATTTAATGTCCACACTGAGAAAAAAAATTTGTTCAACTAACTGAACACATTTAGTTGTTTGCAGATTTGATTAATTCAACAAATTTTATTTATTATAATTGAATTTAATCTTAGTCTGCTTAACAAACTATTCAATGTTAAACAGACATTAATAGTAAAACTGCGGTTAAATTCGATTAAATAAAATTTGTTGAATTAACCAAATCTGCAAACAACTAAATGTGTTTAGTTAGTTGAACAAATTTTTTTTCTCGGTGCACAGACCATAATAAAGTACCTGCCTAAGATATCTTATAAAATGTCTATAACATTACTGTGATGTAACCGAAATTATATTGGAATATGTATAGCGCTCTATCAAATAGATATTTATAAATAAAAAATGTATTGCTCTCTAAAATATTTTTCAAAATTTCTAACTTTTCTTCATAAAATCTACATATTACAATGACAAAAATAAATAAAATTCATTTATTTTTACTTAAAGTCATTACAGTGCCGGTTATAGTTAAAGGATAACGATTGCTTATTGGAGCTTTGTTTTTCAGTTTATATTTTGTTTGAATGAATATGAATACTCGTTAAATATTTATAGTTCTTTGTGTGAATAAATGTTTTTTTAAAAACCCAAAATTTTGAATGAATATATGATTACATTTTTTTTATATGAAAATTTTGAATAAATACAATTTGGAGCTCAATTACAAATTTTTGTATTCATCGGGCACACTATCATTTGAAAGTTCTTTTAAGATGTCGAAATATGATCCATCCAACATCTCTATATCTTTTTTACAGTTGATTCCAATTATTTGGTATCTTGATGTGTATCACCTCTGCAATCAATCTTTTGTTATAATTATGTTCAAATTCTAGGATTTTTACATTTTCCTAATCAATTTGTATTTAATATGTGTTCTGAAATAACTAAATGTTTGGATCGATCAGATTTTAAGTTGGTTTTGTGCTCTTTTAATCTCGTTTGCGCAATTGTCTCTTCGTTTGGCCTACATATGACATCGCAATTTTTACAATGGATTTCATAAACAATAAGAATTTTATTGGACCGTACAATTGAAAATTCAACAATAAGAAATAGAAGTAATAGCCGTAACGATCAAAGCTACATCTTTAATACTTAAATAATTCAATGTAAATTACTATATATACTATATATTTACATATATACCATATTTATAGTCATTCGAACTGCGCGAATTGGTTTTCCGGACTTAAACAACACTGTAATATCACGAATTAAATTGACAAGCAA